AAGAAGGGCCATCTGTACCCCAATGTTTATAGCAGCAATGGCCACGGCCACCAAACTGTGGAAAGAACCAAGATGCCCTTCAACGGACGAATGGATAAGGAAGATGTGGTCCATATACACTATGGAGTATTATGCCTCCATCAGAAAGGATGAATACCCAGCTTTTGTAGCAACATGGACGGGACTGGAAGAGATTATGCTGAGTGAAATAAGTCAAGCAGAGGAAGTCAATTATCATATGGTTTCACTTATTTGTGGAGCATAACAAATAGCATGGAGAACATAGGGAGATGGAGAGAATGGAGTTGAGGGAAATTGGAAGGGGAGGTGAACCATGAGAGACTATGGACTCTGAAAAACAATCTGAGGGTTTTGAAGGGGCAGGGGGTGGGAGGTTGGGGGAGCCAGGTGGTGGGTATTAAGGAGGGCATGTATTGCATGGAGCACTGGGTGTGGTGCATAAACAATGAATTCTGTTACGCTGAAAAGAAATAAATTTTAGAAAAAAGAAATTAATTAAAAAATTTAAAATAAAGAGTCTGTAACTATATTGTGTATTATTGTTAATATTTCGTTGACTGCTTCCCCACAAGAGTATAGACTCCATGAGGACAAATGTGTTGCCTATCTTACTTACCATTATACCTCAAGAATCTAGTACAATGCCTAGGCATATAATAAGTGCTCAAAATAAGAGTAAGCAATGACTAAAATCTTTGTTTAACTTTGCATTGTCCAAACAGCTAATAAAGGGTAGGGCTGGAATTTGAACAAAATGCTGCCAAATCCTGGTCTCTTTTTGACCATAGATGGTATGATTGTTGTTCCCAGGTACCACATGGAGTTCTTGATGTTATAGTTTTTCTTTTCCTGTTTATTACCTTTTGAAGCTTAAATGATTGTCTGATATGCCCACATTTTTTTGTTTGTATCTTCAGGCAAAGGCTGCCACCTAAAAATGTTTACTACTACCGGTGCCCGGACCATAGGAAGAATTACGTGATGTCCTTTGCATTTTGTTTTGACCGAGAAGAAGATATTTATCAGTTTGCTTACTGCTATCCATATACATACACACGCTTTCAGCATTACCTTGACAGCCTGCAAAAGAGAAACATGGATTACTTCTTTCGGGAGCAGCTGGGTCAGAGCGTGGTAAGGCCTACTCAGAAACAGGCAGCCTTGGGGGAGGAGCTTAGCAGCGGGTTTTAATAGAATGCAGACAATGGATATTAATGCTTTGTATATGCTCTGGAACTTTTAAGAATAATTATTTTTATTGTGCCATTCTTTGCCTCTGTGGCCAACAGTAAGTCACAGAATAAGATATGAGACAGAGGCTTGTCCTTCTGAATTGAAGCTGATAAGACTCTCTAACAAGATACAAAAACTCTGGTGAGAAAACAAGGAGGCTCCTACCAGGTGTTACAGGCATGTTAAAGGCATGAAAGCATTTTATGAGTGTGAGCCTCTGAGATAAAAAATACGTTTGTCTTTTAATGAATTCAGCTTGCCTGCAGTGCAGGTTAACAAGTGGTACACAATTTGGCTGTGCTGCCCACGACATGTTCCATCACTGCCCTCCATCAGTTCCCAATCCTTCTTCCTTCCCAGGTTTAGTTCTCCGGGTCTGGAGATTTCAGTCTTACATTCTGTATTAGTTTCCTATTGCTGGCATAACAAATTGCCATGAACTTGGTGACTTACCACAAACACAAATTTATTATCTTACAGTGCAGGAGAAGTCTGAAATTGGTCTCACTGGGCTAAAATCAAGGTATCAGCAGGTCTACATACCTTTTGGAGGTTCCAGGAGAGAATTTATTTCCCTGTTCTTTCCAGCTTCTAGAGGCTGTTTGCATTTCTTAGCTTGTAGTTCCCTTACATCTTCAAAGCCAGCAATGGTTGGTCGAGTCTTTCTCATGATGCATCACTCTGACACTGAATCTCCTGCCTCCCTCTTTTACTTATAAGGACCCTTGTGATTATGTTGGGCTCATCCAGATAATCCAGGATAATATCTCCATCTAAAGATCTTTAACTTAGTCACTTTGGTAAAGTCTCTTTTGTCATATAAAGTAACGTATTCATAGTTTTCTGGGATTAGGACTTGCACATTTTGGGAAAGGCCTGCATTGTTCTGCCTACTATTGTTCTCTGTGGTCAATGATACTTCAGTTACTTATAATGGATAAGTGGGTGATTAATTGTTTTTATGTTTCTTTCTTTAAGAACTGTGAGCTGTGCCCCTAAAATAGGCATATTGAATACTTTAAAGATCCTAAGTGAGGGTACTGGTGGAATTGGCAATATCTGATACATGGTGGAAAATTGGGGACTGTGAGTTCCACCTAGAAGGGAGCCCCACTTCTAAATGAAAGCTGGTGGAATTGGCAATATCTGATACATGGTGGAAAATTGGGGACTGTGAGTTCCACCTAGAAGGGAGCCCCACTTCTAAATGAAAGCTTTCAAGACAAGGCTGTTTAAAAGATGTAGAGTCTAGTCTAGCATACCCAAAAAGAGGAGAGAAATAAAGAAGGCTTGTGTATGGCTCAGGTACCTGAGAGCCAAATCTGATCTTAAAAGCTAGTGGTCACGATGATGTTCTTGTAGTCTCAGATAGACAGAAGTATGCACTAAGATTTTGCAAAATATCTTCCCTTAATTCTGTCTTCCTAACAGTGGTTCTGGTGGGTGCATGGGTATCTGGTGCCTATATATTTCTAATTGAAAATTGGGACCATGGTGTATCAGTCAGCATGCTAGCAGGAAACAGATGGCAGCCTCACATTAGGATAATTCAAGGGGAGCTTAATAAATGGGCTATTTACAAGATGTGGGCCGTGTGTAGGGAAACCACAGGATATAGTGCATTTCCCTGGGGCTAGTAACAGTTCAAAGGGTGTGAAGGGAAGGAATGGTTATCAGAACCCAATAGTAGAGAGCCATTTAGTGGGCAACATTGAGTGGAACAGTGACCTTCAGTTAAGGAACAAAGTTAGCCTGAGATGACCCCACGGGGAGGGAGCTGAGAAAAATAAATGCATAGAACTCATTCTCTTACTTCCCTCTGATTTCCTACTGGTGTCCTTTTTGACCAACCCAACCAGAAGTCAGAAGACAAGAGAACCCATTGATGTAGTCCATACAGATAAGCCACCCCAGTCAGTGGAGAAAATAGAGAAAGACAGAGAGTGAATTGAGAGAAGCAAGTAGAACATATAAATACATATAGATTGATCAATAATTTATTACTGGAAATAGAGAGATTATCTAAGATAAGACTTTCAGAGAAATTCTGAGATGAGTGTTCTCCAGACTTGTGAATTGTGATATGAGTTAAGACGGTGATAAGTTCATTCAATACTTGTGACTTCTAATTTTAAGGGCAGGATTTGTATATTTCATTCCTGTATCCCCTCAAGCCCCTTCTTAGATTTATGCCAGACAGAATGTAGGTGCATACTCAACGGCTATTAAATGGATTATTGAATGAATGGAAGAATGAATCCAGTGTGGATCCAGGATGGAATTCTACCATCATATCTGTGTTTTAGACAGAGGTTTAAGAAGATATGGGGAGAAAGGAGAAGATACAGTTACATAGCACTTTCTCTTCTATTCCATTTCATAGAACTCATATCCACTCTTCTCAAAGGAAGGATGAGACATGAAGTCTTCATTCTGGGTGACCATGTTTCCAGCAAAAAATTGGTAGTCCTATAGATACATAGGAAAACTGATATTGAACGACAGCCTGATATCCCTGCCACAGGAAGCCTGAATTTTGTTTTCAGCTCTAATACCAAATTACTCATATGACCTTGAATGTTACTTACCCTTTCTGGGGACAAGTTTTTTATCCATAAGATGAAAAAGTTGGACTTGAATGGTGTTTTCAAATTATTCTTTGAGGAACTCCTCTGGGAAAAAAAAAAAAAAAAAAGAGAGAGAGAGAACGAGAAACAAGTTGAGACCCTTGTCTTCAGACTTTGTGAGGAGCCTTGGGGGATATAAAACAAATCTTGGTGTTCTTCCAGAAATGTATTCTATACCTGAGGAAATCAGACATATTCAAATAGTAATATTTTAAAGCATATAATTAAGGATCTCCTGAGTTGTTAGAGAGTTAATGGTCAGACAAACCATCAGGGAGAAGATAGGCTTTAAGCTGAGTCTTACAAGATGGGTAGAAATACTAAATACAGAGTTGGGGAGAAGACAGCATAGACAGCAGGATACAGCCAGTCATTGCATGGTGACAATTGGTTAGAAGTCTGGTTTGGTTAGAATAGGGAATCTTCCTCCTGGGAGATTGGGATAATCTTCTAGATTGGAATATCGGGGCCAAATTCTAGAAAGCTTTAATTGTAGTATTAAGGAATTGGAGGGGGTACTTGTAGATGTGGGGTCAAGTACCTTATGCATGTCATCTTGCTTATTTCTCACAAAAGTTTTATGGAGTAGGCAAAATTATCCCATTTTGGGTGATAAATAATCTTAGGCTAAAGAATAAGTTACTTACCTAGAGTTATACAGCTAGTTCATGTCAGAGACAAAATTTAAGCCTATGGCTTCTAACACCACATCCTGGTGTTTTGATAGACCACTGACACTTTCTACATTGCACCAACTGAGAGCCTCAGTAGATTAAGAGATTACCTTATCCAAAACAGCATTTTAAGAAATTAAAGTTAATGGAAGTATAGGGTATACCTATGCTGGCCAACCTGTTTTAGGGAAACCCTATGGGTTGGACCTCAAAGCATGTGCCAGAGACTTTAAGGCTTTCTGGCATACTTTTGCAGACAGGACAATTCTTCATTACCAGGGTATTTGGTATGGTTCGTGTCTGAAGACACAACTATAATTAGTTAATCCGTATTCCAATTTAGAGGGAGGATAATTATAAGTGGGAAGGCTAAACATGCCAACTTCCAGATCTTAGGGAAAGTAGGCAGAAAGCAAGATTTTGAATAGTGCTGGAACTATTAATCACCATGTCCATAGCTACTATTGCTACAAACTATGTCATCCAAAATGGCATCTTATTTTGTTATTCACTACTGGCCCCTTCTAACCAAACAAAATCCCTTTGAACATCCATCAATGCTGCAATCTGACATTTAAATAAATATATTATGGGAAAAATCTTTTCTTGTTGTTCCTGTTATCTTAATTGTTCTTGTCTTTATTGAGGTATAATTAATATACCATATAATTTATCCATTATAAGGGTACAGTTCTATGATTTTTAGTAAATTTATAGAGTTTTATACTATCACCATAATTGTTTTAGAACAGTTCCATCATCCCAAAAAGTTCCTTTGTTAATGCTCACTTCTACTCCCAACCCTAGCAACTACTGATCTTCTCTGACACTATAAATTTGCCATCTCTTAAAATTTTATATAAATGAAATCATTTACATCCAGCATCTTTCACTTAGCATTATATTTTTGAGGTTTAGCCATGTTGTATCATGTATCAGTAGTTCATTTTTAGTGCTGAATAGTATTCTATTGAAAAGATACATACCATATTTTGTTATTCTCTAGTTGTGGCTATTATGAATAATGATGTTATTCATTCAGCTCAGGTCATGATCCTGGAGTCCTGGGATGGAGTCCCACATCCAGCTCCCTCCTCAGCAGGGAGTCTGCTTCTCCCACTAACCTCTCTCCTCTCATGCTCTCTCTCTCTCTAAAAAAAAAAACAAAAAAAAAAAAAAAAAAAAAAAAAAAAAGCTGTCGAATTTTTAAAAAGAAAAACATGTGTTCCATGTTAGTAGTGCCATCTCCTACTAGAAATATAGGAGAGAGGGTTATAGTTTCTCCATGTTTTTGCTAACACTTGGAATTATCTGTTTTTTATTCTAGTCATTTTAGTGGGTATGTAGTGGTATCTCATTGTGATTTTAAATTGTATTGCCCTAATGACTATTATGTTGGTTATCTCATCATGGGCTAATTTGCCATTCATGTATCTTCTTTAATAAAGTGTCAGTTTAAATCTTGCTCACTTAAAAATATTGGGTTATTTGTGTCCTTATAATGAGTTTTGAGAGTTCTTTATATATTCTTAATGCAAGATCTTTGTCTGATACATGCTTTGCAAATATTTCCATCTAATCTATGCCGTATGCCTTATCT